AGAGGTTCGTTGTAATCAAAATGGTCTCCAAGCAACTTCACCTGTTACAACAGGCTTATTTGAACACCGACCAACAATTTGGCACAGCAGGTATTCATAGAATCCGGCCAACCTTTCAACCGCTAACACTGCCCTGAATTTCATCGAGCCTCGGAAATAATGAGTTCGAAAGAACCCCTCTGGATACATTTCCAGGATGTCTGCGCGATCATCTTGAGTCAATTCCATTGCCCATAAACGCATTTAAGATGGAACGGCTACTGTTGTACATAGTGACATCATCTGTCTTGGGTGATTCATATCGATGATTTTCTAATATCTCCACGATTTTGGAGGGTCCGGTTGATGAGTGGCGGGCCTCTGAGAGTGCTAGGCACCCACCACGGTCATACTCAGATTGGGACGCTCTCAGTCCAACAAGCTGGTTTTCATCATGACTAATGTTTAACCCACTGTGCAAATACTCGTACTACTAACGTTGATAAATAGTAACCGAGGTACATTGTTACGTTATGATTCTTGTTTCATTCACGTCTCAAAGACCGTTTTAGAGTCGTTATATGTCCACCAACATAACAAAATCTTAGTAACGTTAACTATGATTCAAATCTGATATGTTAACAGAACCGACTTTGTTACAGCGAAGGTACTTTCCATCTCTGTAAATACAATGAAACGGTAATAATTCAAGTAACATCACTGGAATAAACTGCTTTCTCACAGCATAAGTACTTACCTAAGGAGTTACTACATTGAAACCATAATGCATTCAGTATTTTCTTTTTATGTATTTCGAGATGTGGAAAGTACATTGTAATATACAAGGTGTTTCAATAATGTTGCACTACACTCTAAGATCTGATTTTTAGGTCAAATAATATGAAAGAAATCATATAAACATAATATGCTCGACAACGATTCGTTTCTGAAATACAATGAGTTCAATCCCCATGCTTCTATCTCAGAAACGGATCATTTTCGAACAAACTCATATTTATAGAAACTGTTTTCATATTTTGACCCGAAAAAATTGATCTTGAAGATTCATACAACATTAATGACACACCCTGTATATTAATTTGTACATTTCCAATTTTTCAATTAATCGAAATAGTTTTTATCGATTCTGATTGAATAATTTAAAGTGGAATTCAGAATAAAATTGATAAATATTTAAAAATTGTTCTAAAATTGTTATATTTATTTTACTTATCAACTTTATAGTCAACAAAACACTGGACACAACGTAATATCATTTAATGAATGAACCAAACAAATACAGAAAATGATTCCTCAATATAAATTGAGATTAATAGACAACAGAAACTAAAAAAAAGTTTGCTGAGCAAGGAGGCAAGCGAGCAAAAAGCTGTTTGGAATGACGCAGCCACCCCATTTGCTTTTGTATGAAACGAGCAGTCCGAACAGGGGGAAAAAACCTCACGAACTACACCTCAAACAAATAGGAATTGGAGTTTACAATTATTATAATGCCAAGAGGTACAATTTCAGCATATCAAATATTCATACATACTACGTCGATCAGTTCCCTTCCTGATGTTTTTTTTTATCGCTTGGACCGCACGAAAGGGAATCCCTATAATGTTCAAAGAACATCTTGCGTTCCTAGGGAGGATAGGGACATGAGGAAGGTATTGTTTTTTATTCTCGATACTTCCACCCTCCTGCAACAGGGGGTGGGTTAGAGTGTTTTAACCCAATGTGAGTCAATTTTCTTTTTGTCAAAACTCCTTCCAGGATTCTTGTGTCCTTATTCAAAATCTCTATTCTCGATTGAATGGAATCCCAGAGACTTAGATTCTGAAATGTATATACCATATTAGTATATTGAACTTTATTATGATAAAAAACTGTTGTCATTTACCTCGTTCCATGATATGCATGGATATAATCATCTCACATTTTCATATATGTAACCTTTCTATAGGTAAATTGAGCAGATTTGTATTCGATATAGGACAGATCCAGTAGGAAGGTCACATTTCGTTCTAAAAATGTAGGTACCTATCCAGATTCCAAGTAAACTCCTTATGAGTACTGACCTGTAAACAACCCACTGTGCAAGAACTCATACTATTAACGTTATTCCATTGTAACCAAGATAAGTTGTAACGTTGTGAATTCGGTGCTATTGACATCTCGAAGATTATCTTAGAGTCGTTATATGTCCACCAACAGTACAATATCGCAGGAAGTCGCAAGTACGTTGAGTAAGAGTCGAAACTGATACGTGTCATGAAACAGCTTTGTTACAGTGAAAGAACATTCTCAAATAGTATTTGCGATAACGCTTTTACGAACCATGTCTTCATTTCGTAATGTAAAAAGTACATATCCCTGGACGATTTCATAACATTCCTGTCACACTATTGTTGACTCTCTTGTAACATTACTAGGATCTTTCGAAATATACAGGATGATACTCCAAAAATGTCCACCCTTGTAACTTGATTATTTATAGACCAATATTCGTGAATTCCGAAAACTATTACTGGTATAATCACATAGCTAGATTTTATCACAATGGGTTTTTCATGATATGTGGGACGCGTTCTCTCATTTCTCCCACTACAGAGACGATAAATAGGTGTAATAAAACAAACTTGGTTCAATCATCTCTAATGTATCGAAAGAAATGGAAAATGGTAGGTATTTTCAACAACTTGGAAACAAAAGAGTTCTGGTCAATTCTTTGAAGGATCATTTATTATTGTTTTGAGCTGCCCTATCACATCTTGATGTGCGTCCCATATATTTTGAAACACCCAGTATATATTTTCTGGCTAAAAAATATGCCAAATAGTTTTTGAATTCTGCGATCGGTCCAGAAATAACCAAATTTACAAGAGAGCATTATGTTGGATCACCCTGATATTTACTATAGTCAGCTCCATTGCTAAATACCTACTTATGAGAGGAAAAAAATTAATTCAGAAATGTATTCAATCAATGTATGTAAGGCAGAACTACAATTGAAAATGAATGGATATTTAATTGAATAATTATCCTTCTATGTATGTCACTTCAGTTAGTTCAGTTTTATGATTCTATGAGCGAATCTAATTCAAGGCTGAGGATTTCATAAAATACACCTGAAACATCAAACAATTGTAATAAACAATATCAGCATCAAATATTCATATCATCATACCTCGATTCTGCCTCGATTAGTTCCCTTCCTGATGGTGTGTTCTTGATTCTCGATACTTTCACTCTCCTCTGTGGCAGTGGGTGGATTTTAGAGTGTTCTAGCCCAATGTAAGAGTTGATTTTCATGTTGTCATCATTTTTTCATACGCCTTTCAAGAATAAAGGACTTCTTTATTTTTGATTGAATGAAATCCCAAATATTTGGATTCTGAATTATAATGCATTTCACTTTTTCATACCTTAACTTCCCAGGCAAACAGCAGATGTGTATTCCATCATTTCTACTAAATTAGGTCAGAGGTTAGGTTTGTCTAGGGTCTCTTGATGGAAATTGACGTTAAGGTCATCTTAACAGGGTACGGACAGATCCTCTTCTCCTCTAACTCTGAAGTTTTTGTGAAACAGTATTATAGTTCCATCCTTATTCAATTCTGGGGATAAACACTTGATTTTTGACATTTGTTATTTTTTTGGTTATATTGAGGTTACTGGCTCATCATACGTAATTTCCATATGGAATTCCTGATTCAACTATACCAACATATAGATGAACAGTCCTCTAGATTTAGAGTTTACTACTCCAGCATAATCTTTACGAGAAAGGGAACATATGAATTGTACTGAAAGCTCAATATATTTCACTAAAAGAGACTGTTCTTAGACTGTATATACTAGGGTTGACTGAATTGACTGAATGAGCTGAATGAGCTGAGCCTGTAGTGAAGTTAATTGTATTAACTGTGATTATTATCACAGAGTATATTGGTAAATGACAATAGCTAGACAACTTGTCGAATAAATAAATCATCAATCAACTCAAACAGTTGTTCTCTATAATATAATATAGAATTTCTATATAGAACCGCTACAATTGGTGACCCCGACAAGCGAACATGACTGATAGTGTCCCTTCAGCAGATGTAACCAACGTATCCTTGAATTTGCCACAGTTTTGGAAGGCCGACCCCACATTGTGGTTCGCTCAAATAGAGGCCCGATATTGTAATGTCTGGCTCCACCATCCCCACCAAGCCCACTATATCTATGCTCGGTATTTCCATCAGCAACACGCTTTCGTGGGATAATCATGTCAGATCCATCGCAAAAGCTGCTTCAGAAAAACTCGGATTCTTGTTCCGTGCGAAAGGCTACTTTACACCTCAACAGCTTCTTATGATCTACAAAGTGCAGATACGGCCTGTTCTAGAATACTGTTCTTACATATGGGGTTCAGCACCAACACATACGCTGATGCTCTTAGATTCCATCCAGAGAAGAGCCATTCGCCTGGTGGGTGACGCCACACTCACTCACTCTTTGACATCATTGGAACACCCTAGAAACGTCGGCGACCTTTCACTTTTCTATCGATACTTCCACGGGAAATGTTCTTCGGAAATCTCTGCTATCATCCCTTCACTAGCAATACCAATCAGACGAACTAGACAAGCCCAGTCAGCACATCCTTTCGTTGTCAACCTCGAAAGATGTCGAGCAGCACTTTATCAAGACTCCTTCATCCATAGAACGGCTAGGCTCTGGAATTCATTGCCTGTGGAAGTATTCCCAACAACATATAATCTCCAAAAGTTCAAAAAAAAATCCAATACCTACCTCCTGTCCCTGTCCTCCCTAGGAACGCGCGATGTTCTTTGAACATTATAGGGATTCCCTTTCGTGCGCTCCAAGCGATAAAAAAAAAAAAAAAAAAAAAAAAAAACGTAATTGCTTCACTTGATCCAGAGGTAGCTATGGAAGTCAGAGATATAATCATTTCCATTCCTGAAGACACTCCTTACAAAAAACTGAAGGAAACGCTTATCGCAAGAATGTCATTATCCCAAGGAAAACGTTTCAAGCAAATATTAAGTAGTGGACACCTAGGAGACCAGAAACCATCACAACTTCTGAGAAAATTGCAACAACTCATTGGAGATACTCAAATCGATCAGTGTTTTCTTCGGGAAATATTTCTACAAAAACTTCCCAACAATATTCAAGTTATGCTTTCTTGTTATCCAGATAGCACTGTTCCTATCGAAGAATTAGCAAGTAAAGCCGATAGCATCATGGAAAGTGCAATAGATTGTTTGAACTTCACGCACAATCCTGTGACACACAGCAATACAGTAGACATCTCAGCTGAGCTGAACGAGCTGAAGAACCTCGTTAGTAGAATGTGTCAAGATCGTTCGAAATCCAAACCTCTCTCACAATCTATGGATTCCAGAAAAGATGGACCTGTTTTATGCTGGTATCATTCATCTTCTGGTCCAAGAGCTAAGAAATGTATGGATCCTTGCTCTGAGTCGGAAAACTTCAAGTTGCAGCATCAGTGACGGCGAATGCTGCATTTTATGATGATAGCCGTTTATTTTTCGTCAGAGACAATAGAACTGGATTTCAGTTTTTGGTCGACACGAGAGCTCAAGTGAGCTTATTACCAATCAGCAAATTCGAACAAAAAAATGAAAGTTTTTTCTTATCTGCTGCTAATAATACAAACATCAGGACCTTCGGCGATCATGAAATGTTGTTAGATCTTGGTTTAAAAACGAAATTTTCTTGGAAATTCGTCATTGCTGATGTCAAACATTGTATTGTGGAAGCAGATTTCTTACGGTATTTCAATTTATTAGTCGATATGAAAAAGAACAGACTCTTAGATGCAGTAACATTTCATAGCGTTCTTGGCGAATTGTCATCGCTCACATTTATAGTTATTTCAGTTATTGACAATGAACACAAAGAGTTTGGTAATTTGTTACAGACATATCCAGCACTTACTCAACCCTTCTGGAAAGATCTTCCTATCAAACATAATTTGACACATTTCATTAAAACTACAGGTGCTCCTGTCACTCCTCGTGTTAGACGTCTAGCATGTGTACCCCAGCAGAGCTGATATATGGTACAACACTACGATTACCTGGAGATTTTCTAAACTCACCCCATATGGAACATTCACCTCAAGACATAACTCAATATGTTACAAAATGGAAATTATGTATGAATCAGCTCAAGAGTACTTTCACTCATCACAAAAATTCAAAAAAAAATTTCACTCATCGAGATCTGTTCACGTCAACGCACGTTTTTGTTAGAAGAGATTTAGTGAAGAAACCGCTTCAACAACCCTACGACGGTCCTTATGAGGTGCTTGAGAAGAATGATAAAATTTCCACATTAAATATAAAATCAAGGTCTGACAACATTTCAGTTGATCGTTTGAAACCTGCCTACGTTGAATGTTGATTTTTTGGTAATTATTCAGCTGAGTTCCTTTGTAATGCCATGGTATTTATAGTTTATTTTCTTGTGTCAGAAATTATCAAATTTCTTGGAGGAGAACTATGTAGTGAAGTTAATTGTATTAACTGTGATTATGATCACAGGGTATATTGATAAATGACAATAGCTAGACAACTTGTCAAATAAATAAATCATCAATCAACTCAAACAGTTGTTCTCTATAATATAATATAGAATTTCTATATAGAACCGCTACCCGCTACAAGCCTTTTATGATTGAGAAATGGTGAAAACCTTAACCAAAGAGGAGAGGGGACTAACCCAATATTCTTTGCCTTAACTGCTGTACTTATGTCATGTGTGCTAAATATATTTTCGGAAATCCTGCTCGGTGAAGAATTTATGGAGTGACTAATACCACGTATATCAAGTATAAAACTTTGTCTAGGACGAGAAGTTGGCTGCCAAAAAGTAATACGGGAAATATGCAGAAAAATAAAGTATAGAATATACTTCACCCCCATGTTATAGATATGATTTTTCTGTCTATCTTAAATAAAAAGTCATTTTCGAACAATCGATCGATAAAAGTAGCAAAGAAGTAGGTATATACGCAGTATAACTTATAGTCACGTTATTTTCACTTTTGCATCCTACATATTTCCTATTCGTGGTAGGGTAATAATCATATAAACTAATGACCTTCGCCATATTGGATCCGCCATCTTGAATTTTCCAATTTTGACGAAACGATCATTATCTCCTACCTTGAAAACCCCTATTTTGAATAGAATCGAATCTCCATTTCAGAACTCGTCCACCATAATGGATCCGCCATCTTGACTATCCCAATTTTGACGAATTAATTATATTCTCCGAACCCCGGAAATTCATAGAGATACCAATTTTGATTTTTGAATAGAATCGGATCATAATTACAAAATATATGGGATTCGCTATCTTGAATTCCTTGATTTTGACAAAATATTATTAAGTTCGACCCCGAAAACCCTCAGATACAAATCTTGAATAGAATCAGATCATAATTGAAAATTTCTTTCGCGATTCACGGTGGCAGTGCTGAGAATATTTCAGGTCGATAGAACACAACTGTAATATTATTCAAGGCACCAACTTGTCAGAATAATCCTGAGTTGCGTTTTCCAGAAACGTCTAATGAACCATCCACCGTGAATCAGCCTGTATATAGGATTCGTTATCTTGAATTTTCCAAGTATGACGAAACAATCATTATCTCCAACCCCGGAAAACCCCAATCTTCCAATCTTCCACTTTTGAATAGAATCGGATCATAATCACAAAACTCGTTCGCCATATGATCTTCAACAAGTAAACACCCTGTACATACCTATTATTGAAATTTTGAATGATTTTTCGTAGCGCCCATGGATGTGACGTTACAGCAATGTCAGGGATGCCAGTAGTAGACAAAACTAAAGTCTCTAGATCATTAAACAAGAATGCAGCTATTATCTGTCCGTACCCTGTTAAGATGACTTCGACGTCAATTTCCATCAACGGACCCTAGGTTTGTCCAGAGCTCACGTATGTTCTAGTAATGTAGGTACCCATCAGGTTCCGAGGAAACTTCATGAGTACTGACCTGTAAACAATGTAGTACTTGAAGACATTGATATATTCAAATCATGAAAATCATCCACTTTCTCAAAGTGGTCCACAGTATTTTCAAGAAGAAAAAAACTAGGGGCTCGAAGTCGGTCGACTTTGAAGTGTGGTCGACCGACTTTGAGCCCCTAGTTTTTTTCTTCTTATTGATATATTCGAATGGAAGCTTCCCTAAATGACATGAATCAAACTATTTTGAGAGAGCTATATAGCTATTTGGTGATACATTTTTATATATTGCATATGACCTAACCCCAAATATCAAATAATATTACTGAGTTCATTTAAAACTAAGAGAGGAACAATAATAGAGGAATTTTAGTTATATTCATCACATGATGATTATATATTCACTGAGGAAGATACCCGACAATAAATTCTGACTGAAGCCATTATAAATCAGGCAACTGTGTGCTGATACATAAACAGAGAATTATGATATTGGTAACTCAACTCACCTATATCAACGTGATCTCACCATGTTTCTCAACAATCGCACTCACATTTGATTGTCTTGACTCACTGAAATTCACACTTTGTGAGACACAAGGAATGAAGAAATGATTCAAATATCTACGATCAGCATCATCTCTGTGGCATCATGAATCCCGTCGAACAAATCACACAAAATGGCGAATATTTGCCATGAATAACGTTCTGGGAATGAAATAAGAATAATCTGAAGGAGACGTTGAAATATTGCCTCGAAAAAGATCGCATAAAGGGCTTTCACGCTGGGTTGATAGTTGCGGAATACTTGGTAACAATGTTGTGCCAGAACTGCACATCGAAAAATACTAGTAACTTTCAAAATGAGCAAACCACGTTATCGATTTAAGTTGGCAAAACTGTGCACCGATGCCAGATTTATTTGACACTTCTAGAAGCGATTTGTTGTGATCAGCTGATCTCTGCGAATTATTCATTACTGACAATTTGTACTTTCAAGGAATTGTTTGTGATTTATTTGTGGATCATAGGTGAAATTCGATTTATTCAAAATGCCTAAACCCTTGAGTGCGTAGGCGCAGAAGATGGTCCATTACTTCCAATGATTGCTGTGAGAGATGTTAGTTGAATGATGGTATTAATAATGATCTTTTGTGTTGTCCGAATGATCCAAATATGATTTGTTTTAGTTTATTGTAATGACATAGTGATTTCATGAGTTTTTGTGGGTTTTCTTTATGAATTATATTGAGAATATTGAAGTAAGAACAACTCTTTTTGTCTATTTCACTTATCGGTCGAAAGCGCTCTGCTACGAATATTGAATAAATTATCTTGCACGAAATACAACTCTCCCCTTCTTTGGTATTTTATCATTTCCAATATATAAGGAGATGAACCACTATTCATTTCCACACGAAATAAAATCAATTGATCGAATTTGTATTTCATTTCACCAAAGTTTTCATTATTTTCACTCAGTAAATGTGAATACTGATCAGTTTTATTAAAAAAAAAATAATTCAAGACATAATTGTGTGTTGGTAGAAAAATAAGTTATTTTCAATGTCAATATCTGTGATTATTTGTTGATGTTGTTATATAATGAATCATTCTTCAAGTTATTATTCTTTATAAGAATTTCATTATCATTAAATTTCATATTCAGTATATTGTTTGAGTGCATGGTTCATTGAATACAAATATTGGAGTTCATTTATCAACCTCGAGTGCTGATAAACATGAATAGACGGATTTTGAGTTGGTTCCAAAAAACATTATAACGTCCGACGATGTGTGTGATACCCTCGGATTGACTTGAAGAACTCACAATGAGAATTTCTGATTCAGATTACGTTCGGGTCAACTGTACGAACTCGCAGTGAGAATATCTCGTTTACGTTACATACGTGATAGCTTCAGAAACTCGCAACAAGAATTTCTTGTTCAGGTTACGTTCCAGCTAGCTTAACGAACTCGCAGTAAGAATTTCTGATTGAGGTTAATTTCGTAATGACTTTGGTAATTCGTTGTGGAAATGAAGTCGATAACTGAAAGGTGAGGTTTGAAAGATTTCTCCATGGAACTTCAAGGAAGAATTCGCTCAGTTACAGCACATAGCGATCTTTACTACCTCACGATAGGAGTTCGCATATGATCTTGATGTTGATTCCTCTGAGATCTCGCGAAGAGGTTTGTGTTACCTGGGCTCCCTTTCCCGGAGGATAATTAATCAACCTGTTCAACATAGTCAGTGTACAAGATGATAATGATGTACCAATCAAGTACAGGGTGAAGAACCGTGATTCAAACAGTTTGAGGAGAATGATTTCATGAATAGTTTCTGAAGATGAATAATCTGTTTTGATACCTGACCTTGCATAGTTGATCAATCACCATCATATACCTATTTACTATGCTCTCTGCTTCCATTTCATGAGCAAGAGCCCGTGAGCTTCATATTTTCATATTCGTGCTGTCATCTGTTCTA